ACTTCCCACCCAGGGAAAACACTCTCCTTTTGGGGCTGCTGAAGGCTTTTTGAGCTGCCCCTGCTCTGGCCAGCACTTAGATGACAAAGTGAATGTGCATTTGTCATGATGGCAGTTGTGTCCATGCCCTACAGGGCACAATTATTGTCACAGCAAGGAGGGAGCTGCCCTCAACTGCATTTTGTACTTAAATTTGAGGAGTTTGTGGTGTTCCTGGGGCMGGGGACATCTCTTTGTCTTGCTGGAGAGGCTGAGGTGGGTCCACCTCACCCAGCGGGTGCTCCTGGAGCGTTGCTGCTGGTCCAGGGAGCAGCACGGAGCTGTCAAAGGGATGTGCATCTCCCTGAGAAATAGGGGACACGCTGGGAACGTGTGGCATGGCTTGGAAAATTGTCATCTGCTTGCCTTAAATATTCCTGCAGTGGTTTCAGAGCGTCCCAGGCAGTTTCTAGGCTAAATTTCCATTATCCAAAGGCRAAAGGAACATTACAACTGCAAAATGTCCTTGTCCCCACCCTGAGTCTGCAAAGCTCAGGTGATTTTGGGGATTGTGGCAGTGCCAGCAGCAGGACCTGGGCCAGGTGTCCCTCTGTCCCCAGCAGAGAATCCCCTCCTTCCCCGGGAAGGTGTTTGGGATGGAAGCAGCGTGTGGCTGGGTGCGTTGGTTTGTTTGAGAAACGTGGGATTCGAGCAAAAGGAAGTGTGTTTTCCTCCAGCACTGTCATGCTACCAACCATCTGCTTTCCTCCGCAGTTTTCAGGGAACCGTACACCGTTCGGGTGGAGGACCAAAGGTCGATGCGTGGAAACGTGGCTGTTTTCAAGTGCCTCATCCCCTCTTCAGTGCAGGAATATGTTAGCGTTGTATCCTGGGAGAAAGACACCGTTTCTATCATCCCAGGTAAGAGAGGAGCGCCCGTTCTCTGGCAAATCTGTCCTGCCTTGCCACGGGTGACGTTTGCTGCTGTGGAGGGTCTGGTTTTTGGCTCACTGTCGATGCCTGAGTGCCCAGCAATGGTTTTTATTGGTGATTTTGCAGCTCCAGRCTGGAAGGTGCTGCTGGTGTGACACTGGTGTCGTGTCCAGGGTCTCCTGGGTGCTCTGGCCGGGTGTCTCAAGGTGCTGAGGGATGCTCGGTGTAATTATGGCAGCACATGTGCCCTGCCCTGGTTTCTGCAGGATATTTTGAGTACCTGGCTTGGGACAGCAGGAACAGCACCTGCCTGTGCTGTCTGAGTCCGACTCCTGAGGTCAGAGATGCTGTTTGTGTTGTCAGGATGATGCTTCAGTAAAAATTCCACCTTCTCCTGTGAGTTTTTATAACTGATTCAGCCACATTGGCAGAAATGCCATCATCTCCCTTTTCCCTGTGGCAGCAGCTGCGTGTCCTCCCTGTCCCATGTCCCTGTGTCCCTGCCCTGTAGCCTGGGCTGTGCCCCACTCAGAAGGGGCTGTGACAGGGCCAGCATCGCTCACCTCTGCACAGGGACTCTGCAGGTCCACGAATTTTCCCCCGAGTGTTTCCCTGCAGTTTTTTTTTGGCCGGTTGTGATTCTTTTCCTGGCTGTGGCAGGTTCTGGGCACTGCTCACCTCTGCACAGGGACTCTGCAAGTCCACGAGTTTTTCCCCAGCTGTTTCCCTGCCTTTTTTTTTTGGCAGGTTGTGATTTTTTCCCTGGCTGTGGCAGGGCCAACATCGTTCACCTCTGCTCGAGGACTCTGCAGATCCACGAGTTTTCCCACGGGTGTTTCCCCGCGTTTTTTTTGGCAAGTTGTGATTTTTTTCCCTGGCTGTGGCAGGGYCAGCATCGCTCACCTCTGCACGGGGACCCTGCAGATCCAAGAGTTTTCCCCCCGGGTATTTCCCTGGTTTTCTTTTTGTCAGGTTGGGATTTTTTCCCTGGCTGTGGCAGGTTCTGGGCACAGCTTGGGGCCAGCTCGGTGTCCCCACGTTSTGGGGTGACCTCCCGGTTCCTCCGCGGAGCCGCTATCGATGGCAGCGCCGGCTGCCCGGCACAGCGTGAGTGAGCTGCTAGTAAAGCAATCAATAACTGCTTCCCCCGGGGGATCCAGAGGGAATTAAAGGATTTTGCTCAAAGTGAGCGCTCTGCGCTTGGTATTTGCTCACAGGTCAGCGAGTCCCGGTGCTCCCAGTGTCTCGGGGCTGCCCTGGGGAGCGGTGGCCACCGGGAGCGGGGCTGGGGCTGCCAGGAGGGGCTTGAGGAGCAAAATGCTTCACCTGGAGAGGGGTGACCAGTTCTCCTGAGGGCTGTGGTGGTTCTGTGCCCTCTGAGTGCAGCCAAGGTGCTGACCCAGCACTTGGGGATACCTGAGCTGGTGGCACCCTTTGGCAGGGGACAGAGTGGCACCACGGCCCTGCCAACCCTTCTGCGTCTGTGGATGAGGTGAATTTGTGCGGTGAGTTGGAATGAGGAGTTTGAGTGCCCATCCCTGGGCTCTGAGGTGCTCGGGTGGTGCTCTTGGTGCATTTTGGGTGCTGCAGGTGATGCTGTGCCCACCGTGGGTTGGTGCCTGTGATGAGTGGGGCACCAGGTCCATCAGCAGGACAACCCAGGGTGTTGTTTCCTCTGTGATTTTGGAATTCTTTGGTCTGGGATTCTGGAGGATGGAGCCTGCGTGGCCGACAGTGTGTTTGCCAACTGAACATCCGTGCACTCGCGTGATCTTAACCAGACTTGTTCCCAAGTTTGCTGTGGCAGTGGATTTTTTAATATGATGATTTAATTAGGGTGGAAYGATTTTAACATTCTAAAGCAATAATTACCCTAAAGACAGAACATATAAATTGTGTTACAGTGCAGAGTCAACACAAGCAAACATGTTTTGCCGTTGGATTACAAATATAGTATCTGCCTGAAGCTTATTTTCTGTTGTTGCTGGTGTGTTAGAGCTAAAACTGGCTTTGCTGTTACCAAAAATATGTTTTTTCCTGACCTCTGCTGAACCTCKGCTTCTGTCCTGATTCTGAGTGAGGAGGATGAGGGGAGGGAGCGGGGTGGAGGTGAGGAGGGCTGGGATGTGGTGGTGCTGCCCCACGGTCCCCRCAGGTCACAGCGATGCCCTGGGCAGTGCCAGGACAGCAGCTCTGCCCCTGAGCTGTGCTCACAGCCCTCTGGGCAGCGATCGCTGTGCTCTCTCCCGGCTCCAGCGTGCCAAATTCGCTGCTTTCCTGAAACTTTGCTCTAGTGCTCCCTGTGGAAGGCTGGGCATCCTCCCAGCAGCTCGAGGTGCAGCAGGGGAGGAACAGTCCTGATGTGCAGAGCAGGGAAAATCTCCATCCGGATTCCTCCRTGGCACAAAGCTCTTTTTAAGTGGCTGTTGTCATCGTAAACGTCTTTTCCCCAACCAAACCCAAATACCTGCAGCTCAGAAATAGGGGCAGCGAGGGTTCTGTGATTCTGCCATTGATTCATCAGTTTTTGCTGAGTTGGGATTACAGGGCTCTCATATTTTTTCAGTGAAATCTGGTTGTTCTTTTGGTGGGTGCAAAGCCTCAGTGGTGCCTCCCTCACCGGGGTTTGGGTGACGGGTTGTGCTGTTTGGTTAACTTGGCAACACCGTAACCTAYCCCGAAATCAAAGATAAATCCTTTATGGCAGGTTATCCCGCACATAAATCATCATTAGCGCAGCTCGTTTTTGTTTAGTGCCCACCTGACTGTGCTGCTGTGTGTTTAGAGAAGTCAGGGGTTGTGGAGAAATTACAGGGCTTTCAAAAATCCATTTGCCTGGCTGGTGCTCGCATCAGAATCAATCTTGCCTCGTGTTCCCACAGACACGGGCTGTGCTGCGCTGTCTGGGAGGRCAGGAGCTGTGACTGTGGGACAGACATTGGGGTGACACTCACACCTCAAACTCAGCTGCTCCTGGTGCGTGTTTGGGGYGCAAAATGGGAGCAGAGCAGCTGAGCAGAGAGTTTTACACACCCCTCACCCCTTTTCCATAAAATAAGAGTGAGAAAATCCTGCTGCAAGCTGCTTTAAGGACTCGACATTGTAAACAGCTTTTCTTTTATTATTTTATTATTATTTTGTTATTATTWTWTTATTAWTWWTWWTWWTWTTATTATTAWTAWTATTATTATTATTATTGCACRTGGCAGTGGTGGCAGTGTGCAGCCCAGCTGTGTGGGCACTCCTGGGGTGCCTGCCCTGCTGCAGTTTCCAAAAACAACGTGAGGAGCTACCTGAGACCTCCCAAAGGTGTTTTTTGAGCCATTCCAGCCCCTCCTCAGCTGTTGCAAAGGGTTCCTTTGGGCACTGCTTGTCTGTGGGCACACATTGCCCATGCCCTCACACCCAGGCTGGCTCAGGGGTGTCCCTGTGCCCAACTTTGCCTTCCTGGCCACCAATGTCACCTGTGCAGGGCAGGAACAGCGCTGGGGCTCCGAGGGCAGCAGGATTTGGAGGCAGCCAGCATTACCAGCCTGGCAAACCCGGGGCTGAGCTGTTATTTGCTGCTTCAGTGTTGTGTACTCGCTAGGTTGTGTTGGAAGGAATCTAAATAGAGCACTTGTCAAGGTACCAGCGTTTCTAAGGGTGCTGCCTTTGTCACCAGCCTGATACAAATCCTCTGAGGGCTGCGCAGATGAGGATGCACTTAGTCATTGGTTATCCACAAAGCCTTTTCTCTGGAAAGCAAAACGTAAAGCTTGCCAGAAGGATGGAGCTGAAAAAAATAAAAAAAAATCGAGTTCTGTGAAGTTTTAGACGTGTTTTTTGTGTGTGTTGTGGGTTGAGCCTTTTAGGAGTTTCCAAAATATCTCTCCCTGGGTTAACCTGCTTGCGGTGCTGCAGCTGTGAGCTTCATTTGACCCGAGTGGCCTTTGTGTCCCTCAGATGTCCCCRAGGCTGGTTCTGGGGCTCTTCAAATCCTCTCTGCAGCTGTTGGGTGATGTGGGCAATGAAAAGGCAGCAGCGACCTCGTGGTTCCATGGGGCAAATCCYCCCAAAAAACTTTTTTTTGCTGCACCCCAACACTGGTGTTTGCTTTTCCTCTGGAATAGCAGAAGTGGCACTGATATTCACACAAATCCCACTGTAATCCATCCCAGAATGTGGTGAGTCCAGGGATGAGGCAGGAGGCTGGATTTCTGGGATTTCTGGGGTTTCTGGGATTTCTGGGGTTTCTGGGATTTCTGGGATTTCTGGGATTTCTGGAATTTCTGGGATTTCTGGGATTTCTGGAATTTCTGGGGTTTCTGGGGTTTCTGGGATTTGTGGGATTTGTGGGATTTGTGGGATTTCTGGGATTTCTGGGATTTCTGGGATTTCTGGGGTTTCTTGGATTTCTGGGATTCCTGGGATTTCTGGGATTTCTGGGGTTTCTGGGATTTCTGGGCACAGCATTCCCTCCCCGGCGGGTGCTGCGTGCCGAGGGCCACTGTGTGGGATGATCCAGGGGGCAGAAGAGCCAGGACCTGGATAATTCAGCATTGTCCTTGTGTCAATGGGCTCATTCTGGGGGACATCAGGCTCCTGTTACTGGGGAAAAGCTGGRAGCTGGGACAGAACAAACACGGCAAGGCAAAAGAGCGCCCTTGTTGGCGTGTTTGGCGTGGAGGGGAGGTTTGGGGCAGCTGGGGGTGGTGTTTTGGGTTGGTTTGGCCTGAGCAGGGTAAACCCAGCTGGCTGAAAGCAGGAGTGCAAGCTGGAGCGTGCCGGGCATGCGGCCACCCCGCTGCCGTGTCCCTGCTGTCCCCGCTGTCCCCTGAGCCGAGCACGGAGCTGCCCCCGCCTGCCCTGCTCCTCCCGCCGGGCTCCGGGAGGATCCACCGGGCACGGGGATGGCCGAGGTTTGGCCTTTTCAGGGGGATTTTGTCACTCGTGTGCCCCGCACGGGCTGAGCCGCAGCGCGGAGCCGCCTGATGTGATCGGAGCGA